CGTAGACCCAGTCAGGGCAACCACATGATCGCTTTGGTTGCACCCATTAACTAGAGGGGTGTTGGCCTGTGCGACAGAGTTACCTAATCCGACTGAATACCTCTCGATCATGTTCTCGATATCAGCCTTGGCGTCGACGGCACCTGTACCATTCTGCTGCAATACTGCATTGATGACGCTTCTCGCGAGCTGGTGAATCGAAGGATTTGAAAATATGATGTTCTGGTCAATCCGCGAGGCTGATACCTGAACGTCGCGATCTGAAGACGAGCTGAGAGAGCCGATAATGCGGTTTTTGAGGAATGTCGCGGAGAGACTAGAATTACGAAGTAAGCAAAACGTTAGCCTTGACTTTTTTTCAACCCACCTATCAAAGCCCTGAGCAAAAAGGTCTACATCAGGATTGATTGCCTTGTCAGCGTTCACAGCAATAGCGTGGACCTTGAGCCATGCCTCGACGTCTTCCGCAGTCCAGCTTGTGGGTAAAGGTACATCGATACCTGCTCTGGCGCTGCTCTCCACCGTCTCATATCTGTTGTCCATGAAGTCTAGTTGACAAAGTGACGAATGGGTACTATGCTCACAGGACATTGATCTCCTCCTCATACAGCTTGACGGTTGCTTTCTTGGTAACGGTCCCTTTTCCAGCTCGAAGCATGGGCTTCTCACTGCGTGTCACAAGAATCATCTCTTTGAAGATCCTGCTGAATGCAGGAGCCTCGTTATTCGCTTCTTCTATGTGGGGCCTTCAAGAACATCTTCAGACTCAACAGCAGCATTCGATCTTGTAGGGGACTTACCACACTCGGTTCCTAAACTTAGCAAGGTCTTTTTCGTCGTCAACGTCAATTTCACACCCTGCTCGTGGTTCTATGAGGATCCCAACTTGATTACGTCCACGGCCGAATATAACGGTGCCATTTACGTGGAGGTTGGCGGAGATGATGCTTTCCATAGGAGCTGGTACAGTCTTCTCCCCAGAAGAGAGTACCAAAACGTCATCGAGCCTTCCTACGCTGTAAGAAAAATGTTAGAGAACATCAATGGCGCGAATTTCAGTCGTACATTTTCCACAAGCCCTCTATGGTCGGGTGCTTGATGAGTACATCCGAAGTAGCATAACCCTTGACGTCCGAAAGATTCTCTACTGACACTTGATGTGTCGAGATTGTCTGTGAGAAAGCGTTCAATGCCGAAGGGGTGTTTGGAGATCAACTCGAAAACGCACCAAAACTTGACATTCATATGTACCATCCTCCTGTGGAGCCCACCTGATCTTGGAATTTGGTCCAAATCGCACCCACTCCCAAAGCTTTTGCTCGACCGAATTTCGGAAGAAATAAGTGTTGATACCAAATTCTGTAGCGCCGTAAGCGCAAGAAAGTTTGACCCCTGCGTCCACCAGGGCATTTCCCATTTTAGGTGCGAGAGGACCGCCAGCGTAGGCCTGCATTGGTATCAGCACGAGTCACTCCTTGTCACAACATCAACAACAAACTTACAACATATTCGAGGGTCTTCAAAACATCGACAGCACTCGGGGAAAATGCCCATTGTGCCAGAAAGGCAGGCACGACTACCAAAGCGTTCGATTTCGTCTTGAGTACAGAACTCAAGATGTTTTGCGAGTTGGGTACTACAGGGGCCGCCAAGGGATCGAGGAGGGATGTAGGTGGGTAAATAGACACACTGCTCAGGGTGGCAATGGGGACGAGCAGCTGAACATATATACCAAGGATATGAAATGATGGCAAGGACGCACTACCGACGCAGATAGGCGCGGGAACATCGATGTGGTCGAGAACACACGCTGACGCCGCTCCATCTTAGCATTGTTCACCATGCAGATTATGTACTGACTCACGCGTCATGTACCAATGGATGGCAGTCAGGTTACTTATTGGAATGGGTTTGGGGAAGCCAGTGCTGCCAGAGGAGTGCAGGTAGAATAATACCTCATGTTTAGACCGCGGCGAACCTAGGGAAGAGTGCGGGACAATGACCTCGTCTGGAGTACCACCAGCGAGCGCGGGGTACAGGTGTTTCAACGCCGGAATCTCGTCGATCTGCAGCTGGCTCGTTTGAGTGTCGTGAGATACAAAACCCGCTTTGACTCCATCGATCAAGGAAGCAAGAGAGTGTTGAGTCGTGATTAAACGACAGCATCTTGTTTTCTGTATCATGTTCGTGACTGCCGCCGCCGAATTACGAGGGGACATGGGGAATGGCTTGAAATAGCAGTGATCAGAAACCCGCTCATTCAAAAAATGTATGTACATACAACTAGCCCAGCGAAGATGATACCCATGAATACTGTCTGGTAAAGAAGGGTGTCGGAGATCCCGATGAGGGCGACCACTTCTTTGTCTGCACCTATGCAGTCTGGCCTAATCGCCTGGGCGGCTCGATGACAAGCTCGATGGAAGTCTGAGTGTGAGATGGAGACCAAATCATTACTGTAAGGTTTTTCGTAGACAAAGAAAGTGACGTCTGAGTTATTTTGCGCGTTGAATTCCACTAATTCAGGGAGAGACAGAGATCCATCAAGTGGAGGGTAATTGACATGACTTTGATGATATGAAGCGACCATGATGGATGATTGTGCTTAAGCCGAGATACGTATCATGCACGAATAAGTAGTAAAGCGGGAACCGGAAAGCAGTAACCCCGCGACATTACGTTTCATCATTCTATGAGTACTTAAGTATGCACCTACGAGCTGAGGAAAGATGTTTGCTTACCGATGCTCGATGGCAAATCGTGGCTACCATAGGTAAGGGAATTCTGCGTGAGCTTCCGACGGCACAACAGAAAAATCAGTGGAAAATGGTAAGTATAGTGCGTGGGTTGGAAAGTACGCAATAAACGGCGGTATGCTTCCATTGTACTTAAGACAACATCATGAGGACAGGAGATACCGTCGTCGTCAAGGACGGGTAGATTAATGATGACCGTCGGTATACTCATGAGAGGTATGGCACATAAAGAGCCAGAAGCGAGTCTGGCGTCCAGCGTGTTTGATCGTTGCATGAGAATATTCAGGATGACCGAAGGTGCGGGTAGAGGCAGCATACGGTTGCGAAGATAACTGGGCTTGAGCCAAACAACAGGATTGCTGCTTGATCGTGTTATTGTAAGGACATGAGCTGCGTGCAGTAGCGTTTTTCGGGATCTGTTTTTCTCTTTCTGAAGCATACCTCGAAGTGATTCAAGATGGAGGAAGAAAATGACAAACACATTTGCCCTTTGTGTACAGAAAGTCGACTATTGATGTGACATTCTTGCAGGTCGAGCTCTGCACACTTGGTCTGCCAGAAGGACGGTTTCGAGCCCGTTGAAAAAGAGAGGCTAGGATAGTGTATCGTGAGCATCGGGTCGTACCGAAAACTGAGAACATGAGGTGAGGAAATATAGCATGAGACATTTACGGAGTATCTGAGGATGATGGGGTGTCAAAAAACCTCGAGGTACCGGATATAAGACACTGAGTAGCTGGACAAGAGGCCGTATAGTGTTAGCCTAAAATTATTTGAATACAATGAGATTCGTTCGCGAAATTCTGACGTTGTTGCCCTGGGAGAGCACGGTGTTCACTGTTGAGGTATCACAGTGAGAATGAAATACAATGAGATCTGTCTGTCAACTCACATTGACATCCAACAGAAGGTCGTCGAGGTTTACTGTTGCAGACACATCCTACTGGCATGCGTATGTGTTATGGTCCCAGACTCCCAGCAGATAATGGCTAGCTTTCCATCTGCCGAAAAGGACACGAGGCCACTATTCTTACATTGTGGAGGAGCGAACTTGGTCACGGTGGGCTGGCCGCTGTCGATGTTCCACACTTGTCTTCCGACGCGCTTGCGAGGATGCGGCCATGATATTGCAAAGGAGTAGACACTAGTGATGTGTCCCTTCCAGTCGCACAGTGATCTGCTTTCAAGGTTGTAGTGTTCGAAGTCCTAGTAGTAGTAATCGACTGACCCGGAGCCTATAAGGGTTTTTTCATCCGGGGTCCAAGCAGGGCAAAACACCAATGAGTCTTGGCCCCGGATTTTGACTTGGGACTCGTTATAACTTTATAAGGAGACGAAGGGTGGTATCCAGCGATCACAAAATGGTTGTGTCCGGCGAGTACACGACTGTGACCTTTCTTTTTGAATCAACGTCCCCCTGTCTTGCAGTCTGATCGTGAAGTCTGCTCGCTACTCGCTGGCCATCTAGCAGACAGGCCACACTGTTTTCAAGTTGGGTCGCGTCCGACATTTTACAATGACTTTGCATATGTATGTCCCACTGCACCCTCCAAACAACCACTGCCAGCCATTTTCTTCCCATCCGGAGACAACGCTATGCCCCACATTTCAGTTTTACTCACTGTCCCTCCAGTCACCCATCCTACGTGTTTCCTACTCTTCAAGTTCCATGCCCGTAGTGAGCTGTGATTTGAACAAGTGAGCATCCGCTGGTAGATGTATGACGTCATGGACCAAAACGTTTCGGTGTGTCCTGGAGGAGTTTTATCGTTATCGTTGATTTGATGAGTCTCTCAGCGCTCAGCTTTCATCTAACAAGTGTCAAAACTAACCATTATGATGATATGTTGGAGGTCAATTCAAGTACAGTTATGTGTCATCCTCGTGATCTATAGTTTGTATAGTATAAGCTGTGCAGCTGAAGCACCCAAGTCATTGTTTGATGCGTATTCTGCAAGGTTACTGCAGCATAAGTAGCTAGTGCTTATATGGACTGGCAGTTGGGGATGAACGTTAACTGGCAAGTACTGGTTGGTTGGTTCTTTCGCTATTATCGTGCGACTCATCATGAAACCGTTCGGTTGTATCAGAAACCGGGCCTGGACTTCTCATTTCAAAAGTTGGGGATAGTCACAAGACCAATTAATTAGTGCCCGGTGGTGTAACTCGGCCTCAAGCACAATCCATTTCCCATCGGTTACACTATCCTTATTGTACTTTGCATTTTATAACGGCCTTAATTATAGCTTGACAACGGAGGCAGAAGGTGAGGGCAAGAAGCGGGAGCGTTCATGAAGCACATGCAACCTCTTAGAAGGCGGGGGCATTGGAATCCATCAAGGTTAGCCTTGTATGATGTAGAGTTTGGTGGTAGAGGTGGCTTATCTCAAGCTTATCTGTTTGCTGCGTTTGGAATAGTCCTTTGATTCTGGCGTCATGCCAACACAATGTCTTATGTAAAAGACCTCGAGGTTCTCGGACGAGAACATACGCTTCCCGGGCATGAATACTGGACACATGATCACGAACAATGTTCGGGTAGTCAAATACTCTGCACGCGCAACACGGCTTTGCAGATTCCCAGGTGGTCGATTGGGCGATCCTGGAGTAACTTCCCCTTTCCGAGTCTAATCTGACTCATACGATAGTAATCCATCCAATTCGAGGTTAGTCGCGGTGCATACCAGTGTGCCACACATGGCGCTAGATGACAGTATATATTCGCCAAGTTCGCCATTCACTCCGACACCATCTGATTTTCCCCTCAGATCCCGGTTGGTGGATGCTGGTCAATTTAAATCGTGATTATACTGATTATATAGGTTCGTGGACAGACGGTCGGACGGTTTCAGTAATACTCAATCTAATCCGTCTGTTTCGTAGCTGCCTCCTCTGTTGTGGTTGCATACGACTGGGGTAAGCAATATAGCATAGAAGAACTAGAAAGGACCACTGAACGATATTTTCAGCACTGACATTCGGACAAGAGGTAGGTTGGCGCAATTACCGAGCAGCTATCTCACTAGGAAAGGTTTTATACTAGGTTGACCTGGTTTGGGTGAGCAGCTCCCAATCATAACATCAACAGAGCAATACAATGAATTCTGGGCAGAGGCAACGCTGGTCGTCCATGACTGCGCTTTTTCTCGGTGTACGTAGCTTGGCCTTGTTATAACCGCCGTGCTTACTTCAAAAGTCTTCTAGCTGCGCTACATTGGAGTGTTGTATGCTGCGTATGTTTGCCTAACAAGTCGGTGCCGTGCTTCTGATCGATCTTTCACAATCAGTGTCTTTGTGTTCTGTATGTCTGATATCCATCGCATGTCTTTCTTCTAACTTTGGGCATCCACTGCCATCCAGCAATTCTTCCATCAGACTCGGTGACCAATAAGGTAAGCATTTTGCACCGATGCCTCTCATTCTCACACACCAACTACTTTCCGATGTAGGGGTGAGTAAGATTCTCGACTAGGTTGTTGATTTAATATAACGAGTCCCATAGCTGTGAGTTGAGATGCATTGTGCAGTTCTTCGGGGCTCATGATTTTTCTCAGGTGAAATTATCAACTCTGCATTATGGTGCACAGGTTTTGTCGTCAACGGCATGCTAGGCGGTGAGCAACTCATCTGCAATACCTCAGTGATATTAACTTAACTGGGACATCATGCAAGTCATCATGATCACTCGGTTATTTGCCATGCATCAGCAATCGAGAAAGGTGCTCATCTTTCTTGTTGTGATCTTTCTCGCTATCACGATTGCCTGTGGGGTGATTGTTGTGATAGAAACCGGCCAAATCTTAGGTGGTGAGGTTATTCACGAAAGATGGAAGCGAATCAAGCTCATGTGAGAAATACTAGAAGACCTTATCCTCCCTGGCACCCATCAGTGTCTCATTGGGGGAAACATACGTCTGGCGGCCGAGTATTGGTTACTCGGCACTGCATGGGAGGTCTTCACGCTGTGCCTTGTACTTTGGAGTGTTGTAAAACACTTCCGTGAACTGCACGAGCCATGGACGAGATGGACGATCGGGAACTGCTTCACAGTGTTAGTAAAAACACATGTGCTTTACTTTGCAAGGTTAGTTTATATTTTGATTGGGGTTGTCCTTCAGCGCTGAAGTCGTGCATGTGCTAGCTTTGCTACCGTGTCTTGCCTCCAACTTGGCTATTTGTCTCCAGCAATTTTGGTAAGCTGATCTGTCACCGATCTCCATGCGACGACCGTTCATCATTCTCATAGGATCCAATTAACGTGGGCACTCGGACTTATGGCGGTGTTCTTCAAATTTTCTCGCTCGTACAAATGTTTATATTGGGACCGCGCCTCATCCTCGATGTTCGAAAATATTACGCTAAGATCGTAGCTAAATCCGATGCAGGGATCGCCATGACTCCAATTGTCTTCCATGAATCCGTCCAAGAGTCAACTAGTAGTACTGTATAGCACTTTCAATAATGGAATAATCAATGATTGTCAGGTGATGCTCTCACCAATGGCAACACCTGAAGGGATCCTCGGAGATCCTGCGAAGAACATTACCAGGTGACGGGACTCACCTGAAGCTAGGACAACAGCAGTGCCCTAGTAGCGGATCAACACAATGAAACATAAGGCTTGATCACGGAGGTCTATAGGAAACCTACCACTGTGATCGGCAGAACTTTTGATCGGCCCTTGCTAACTAAGTTCATCACATAAGTCATGGTAAATCTGTTAATAAGGCAATATACTTGTTCATATGCGATGAACATATAGACTACGGATCCAGAAGGCATTGAGTGAATGTTGCGTATAAAACTGTACATCGAACTTACAGATGTTCTACATAGATGGTGACAACCTACGGAGTGCATGTGTCAGGCAAACTATAGGGCTTATGGCATATAACTTACGGCAATTACCAACTGAGCCTGCACAAGCATATCAATCTGATACATAGTAGCTCACAGTGGAAGGAGTAACTCACTTTGAAACTCCATACAATTATTATGAACGCACTAACGTTCCCGTAATTGGTTACTAAATAGAAATAGATGCAGAGCGTCAAGTATCCTAAAAATTCGGTGTATGATGTAATTTCGAGGCGCTCAATAATTGCAAGTCGAAGAGATGCCCACCAGAGCCATATGACCTAGAATAGCATCAATAACAGAAATTGACAAGGAAGCAACATAGATGTACGACCAGCTTGTAGAATGTTATTCCTGTACCAATAAGTGTCTGAAAGTAGATGAAAGCTTGAACGCAAAGAGACTATTCCGCGAGTTGAAGATTCCACCATCTTATATTCCGCAGCGCGACAGAATGAGGTTAGTATTTTTCTGCAATGAATGATGGGTTTGGCGCTGAAGCGCTGATGGTGGGAGTACATCTCCTACGATCACCAATCAAGATGGAGCCATCAGTATTTCACATTGGTAGGAATGATGAGTCATGACCATGTGTATTATGATGGTGGCGTTCCTAAGTTCATCAGGGATCGCTTACTTGAGTAGTTGGCAGCAGTAATACCACACGCAGGCGTCAGCGCATCAAAAGAGATCGAATTGAACATAGATGGCACGCCGGTCTAGGTGGAAAATCGAGCCCAAGGAGGAAGGCAGCGCTGTGGCTGAGCGCTGAGGTGACTGAGTCGTCACGCGGTATCACGTTTGCAGAGCGGCTCGTCATGATCGGAACGACTACATCATGATGCATCGATGTTTCAAGCTCAAGTTTGAAAATTTGACTGATCAGGCCCAGTGAAAACCCACTATGGCGTGGTACGATGGGATCTCCGATATTTTCCTAATGAAGAAAAAAAAGCAGATGAGGTCCGTTCTCGTCGTCTCACACCATACGCGGTTTCTAGTATCTACTCGGGACCAGGCATCTTTCTTCACCCGAAGCGTCAAATGCGGAAGTGCACTCGAGTTGCCATGATCCATTTCTCAAAAGAAGCCACACGACAGAAATGATGTAAGGAAGATACACGAGCTAACCTCTAGCTGACCAAATTTTCTGATCTTTTTTCGCAAAGCCGGTATTCAGATAGGCACATATGCCGGAATATCTACCGCATTCATTGATTGCGGATGTGTATGTGAGGCAGGCTATGCAGGTATATAGTAAGTTCTGCTGGAAGTTCTACACTGGACCAGCAATAATTTCAACCCCTCTTTCAACTTTCGCACTCCTCATCAGAAACTATATCTCGGAGGCTATGGATGCTCGCCCAAAGATGATATACCTCCCAGATACTATGGTTAACTGGCCCTGGCCTCGTACCATCAATCCTCATTTCGAAGATGTGAAAGCCGAAGTCGATGCTTTGATCACAATTTCAAGGCTCTGAGTCCTGAGTCACGGGCAGCATTCAGTAAATGTGATCCTGGTTCGACTCATGTCACTAGCTCTCAACTATGATAATGGTTGACGCGTGTTCTGCTCACAGCCCGCGTAATGGCGCTAGCTAATCCAAATGCACCAAGAGGTTCGTATTGATCCCTGTTGGACGTTGGTCTCGACATAAGCGGTGCAATGGCTTGGGCAGCGCATTATCATGCTGAAGTTCGGAAACGATTCATCAACGGTCTTACGAAAGTTCCTTCGTGAGGACCTTCTGTTAACATCCTAGTCAAAGAGTATCTTGACGGGATAGCAATGTCACGTAGCCCCAAGCAAACCATTCTTGGAGTTACGAAATTCACAGGTAATATGAATTTCCCATTGGTAGCTGCATCACTCAGTCCGATTGGGATTACAGGTACTTTGCCACCAGTGGCCCGAAAATACAGCAAACTAGGATTGTTCCGTTGTTGCCAAGGCGCGACCGCGAAGCCGTGTGAATCTATCAAGTAGGTCTGTTCAGATAAGCTCTTTCTATAGAATCTGGCGCTAGCTATTCTTGTACCTTACATATTTCGTTGTATATATTAACTTACCACCACGTTTCTCCGTCTGTCTCTCATAGATGCCACTCTTTTCCTCCCATTTCTCTAGCTTTCAGTCGACTAGTACTTTTTATACATGACTTTTTCTAACCCGTCACGATTATTTCAAATTCCCCCTGACGCGGTACTGGGGAGATCGCACGACTCACAGCAGGGGCAGAGGCTTCTGACGGAACCACTAAGGAAGCTCCCGGTTGTCTTGATCAATCGCGATCGATAGAGGACTAAGTTTCCTTTGTCGTTGCCGTCTTCGTTAAACCATGGTATGATCAATTGAGGGCAAAAATACAATAACAGAATATCACAAATTGTGTTCGGCATCAGTCCTGAGCTATTCTGAACTCCATGAGCATCATCCCTACAAGATCATAGGTTTGGGTGAGTACTAGACCAACACTGGCACTGCGAATTATAACAAATCAAACATCGTTAACGTATCCAGGCATGGAAGGAACTTGCCCAATGTTCTTGAATTCGCTCAAGGTTCGCTCCTTGCCATTGAAAAGAAGCCACATAGTCATGTCATGTTGGTATGGTGTGTTACTACCGAAGTTCAATAACGCAGGTTCCAGCGCCTTATGATTTTGAATGCATGACCACCGTCAAGCTAAACTCGAAACTCACCTTAGTAGACTCATCAGTCACTACATCCGGCTCTTCGAACTTGCGCAAGAGCACACATTCATCTATCACAGGACGTTGATTCTGGAGCAACACCACTTTGAAACACAGCTGACTCACGAATCAACACTCGGCTGTTTGGTCCCATTACTTTGCGAATATTGCGGAGAATCACACTTGCTTCATTGTCCGGCCAGTCGTGAATGATGCTCCTTAACTATATCAGATTATAGAGCAGCCCGCGTTGAATTGGAATAAACTTAGCACTTACGTAGTAAACATCCTTTCCAACAATAGGTGACTCCTCCAAGAAATTCAATGGAACGAACTCTATGCGCCCGTCAAGAAGCGCCTCAGGAGCATTCTGTTCCCATGTCTGATCATATAAATACAACTTGCCCGCTGGGTGTAGATAGACCTGACGAGTCTGGACTCACATTTCTTGATAGCTCTAAAGTTTCTGGGAGATCCTGATTGGTTACTCTGAGATGAGGGAACCTTTTCGCCAGAGGAATAGATATTGTTCCGGTTCCAGATCCAACATCCACCACGGATGATACATTGTCCCAAGGGTAATCTTATGGCTCGCTTCAGTCATGCTGACGATTAAAAAACGGTGATTTCTCACAATGCAGCACCGCATATGAGCCATGGATCACAGCATGGCCTATCATGCATTTGTGAAATATCTGTGTATTGTGAGCCATCAGTCAGTCATGAGCAGACGGATCCGCACGCACTCCGCAAGCTTCTTCCTATACAATATAGTAAGGCATGAAAGGCCAATATGATAACTAAAACTTACATCCATTTCCCAGAAGCTGTTGTTTTTGCCTTCCTTTTTGAGAGCAAATGCTTGAGGGGACTTCTCAACCTCGTTTGATCTTGCAAACTCTTCATTGGTCATGGTCTCATAGAGAACCGCAGCAAATTCGTGGCAGCCTTGCTGGTGTCGTAAATTAAACCCAACATCGTTTGTTGACTTGAGCACGAGGGAGAGTCGCGTGTTTGCGAATACGCCTCGTTTGACTGTGTAACACCACATGCTTCAGAGAGAATTATCAACCAACAGTATGCATATCACCTTCTTTGAAGCAACCCCTGAGGGTCAGCAATCGCAAGACACGTGCGATTTTGGTCTTATCGAGGTTGACTGCGTCAGCCAATGCATCCACACTAAGACCTTCTGGGTGTTTTTCCAAGACGTCTGCAATACATGATCGCGTGGCGACGTTCATGCACGCCCAACTGTAATTATTGACACACTATAAATATTAGCAATAAAAGTATAAGGCTGTAATCGACACTTACATTATATGCTGTGTGTTGGGGGGGAGCCAGTATTGTGTTCAATTGCTCACACGCACCCTCGAGTAGCCTGATAGCCTTTCTGAGGGCAAGTGTATCCGTTGCGAAGTCGAGGGGGTGGAGGGTACCTGCATCGATACCAGGGACACCGTGTCCGGTGTTCTTGTATTCTGCCATTGCTTGGCGTGCGGAGGAGTTGATTATGCTCAAGAGGGCTTCAACCTTGACTTCATTTGGCTCCGTCATTTTCGGGAGTGTGCATGATTTCCCCTCAATCGTTCAGACTTTATATTTCTTGACAAAATACATTATCTGGCAGCTGCTTTCCCATGGTGACAACTAGTGCTGCTGGCAATAATGCCCAGTTTGGCCAGACTGGCTGTGCCAAATTGCCAATTGGTTATGCTCGGTCATCGGAACAACTTGGGAGAACTCCAGACTCGCAGGGATGTAACTTAGATCAACTTACAGGCAAAGCAGAGCGCACCGTGTCCTCCGATCTTGGCAGAACACAATCCGTTCCCCGCCCTCGACCTGCTTACATGCACGTGCGTGAAGAGGTTGGCACAATTTGCTGTTGAGACTGCACAGGACAAACTTGAAGCATCCTTTGCGTGGGCACAGGCTCCGCTCTCGACTGAACCTCGTGATGCAGATGACTTCCTTGCTAGTCCAGAGAGTATCTTGCCTGATGCCGAATTTGCGGCTCTCGAAGAATCGAAGAAGACTGAAGAAGTTCTAAGTGTTAACGAAGTGCTGAAGGGAAATGCTTTTGATTTCAATAAGTTGGAAGAAGGAATGATACCACAGACTAGAGATCGAGGTGATTAATTACAACGGTGAGGATGACGGATCACTGGCACTATGACTCCCACTTAAAATTAGAGGTACCTGTAGTTTAACAGAGCTGTTCGGTATATTATCTGTGTGGTGTTGCTATGCCAGTTTAGTATACTTGGGCCAAAGTTTCTGATATCAAATTCAAAGAAAAACGACGAACGATTTTAATTGGCTATCCAATGGAATGACATAAGCATGCCGTATGTTGGTCAAGCGAATTGCCTCGAACTCTGCTCAGTGTACTTTGCAGTGACAATACTCAATTCAGCCACGTCGTTTAAGTGACATTCATGTAATGGACTTGAAGAATGCAAATATCATTGCGACGGCGTATTACACGATACGTACGTGTTGGTACGTGGGCGAAGGAGCCTCAGTTAGCTGCAATTTCAAACTTGGCCGCAGCGACGTGAGCCTATCACATTCCCCATCATTAATTGTTCCGCAGGCTCCTATGATCATGAACTGCCCCACTTCCTAGTTCCCACACAATCATGGGTCGAGCTTGGCCTGTTCACGCCGCCGTCGGAACCGTTGTGACCTAGATAAACGCATGGACTGCTTACAGCTGTCTGTCCGCTCAAGCTGTACTAGAGCATGACTGAAGAACCCACCCCACTTGCCCCACATACATTGGAGGGCCTTCCAGTCACTCCCGGTGACGTGAAGAAACTTGCCCCTTCAAAGGAGCTCACAACACCAGAACATGTCGCTCTGGAAATGAAAGATAATTCCAAAAGCATCCGAGCGTTTATCCCCTGGCCAAAGAAAGCATCTAAGAGGATGGAGAGCGAAGCCGAGAGCGCAAAGGCAGCGGATATACTCGTCCCTGCATCATTCTTATCGCTATTCCGGTCAGATCATCCCACTTTCCCGTGTCTGACTGAGCGTGATAGTTGACCGAAACAGGTATTCAACTCGCTTTGAGATAATATTGAACCTTTTTGGTGTATTCTGTGCTGTTGTTGCTGGCGCTTCGCAGGTGAGTTTTCAGATTTGCGAGCTACATCTCCTGACTTTCTATCCTAGCCTCTGATGACTTTTATATTCGGCAACTTGACTCAAGATTTCGTTGCATTTGGTTTAGCAGAGAACGAGTACTATCAATCGCTACAGTCTCAAGATGCGAACGTGATTGAACAGGCGCAGGCGACATTGGATGCTGCTGCATCCTCGTTCCGTCACAGCGCTAACCTGGATGCTTCTTATCTCGTTTATATTGGTAAGTTTTTGATTTAATAAGAGTGAGACTTAGTCCACCTGAACTCGTGCCAGGTATCGCAATGTCTATTTCCACCTACCTGTACATGTACACCTGGGTTTATACTTCAGAGGCTAATGGGAAAAGAATACGAGAGAGGTATCTTCAGGCCATCCTTAGGCAGGAAATCGCATATTTTGATGATATTGGGGCTGGAGAAGTTGCGACACGCATCCAAACCGACACTCGTAAGTCGTACTCGACTTTTCAAAGGTGGATTGTCGAAATCTTGTTGCTCTGAAATAGATTTGGTACAACTGGGGATATCCGAAAAAGTCACCCTTGCAGTCACTTTCGTCAGCGCGTTCTTCGTTGGCTTTATCCTTGCATTTTCCCGGTCATGGCGTCTGGCTCTTGCATTGTCATCCATCCTTCCGTGCATCTCAATCATAGGTGGTGTCATGAATAAGTTTGTGTCTAAATACACGCAGTAAGTGTTATTGTCGGTGAGCTCATCCTGTAGCTCTGATCTTCGTTCAATACCAGATTGTCTTTGAGGCATGTTGCCGAGGCAGGTAATCTTGCAGAAGAGGTTATATCCACGGTTCGCACCGCGCAGGCTTTCGGGACCCAGAAAGTTTTGTCTGGAATATATGATACTAACGTCGATGCATCTCGCGTTGTTGACACCAAAGCTAGTATTTACCAAGGTGCAGGGTTAGGCTGCCTCTTATTCGTGATCTACGCTGCATATGCGCTGGCGTTCGATTTTGGAACTACCCTCATAAATGAGGGCCAGGGTCTGTTCATGTTTCTGTACCGTGAAACTACATTTAACATTGGTTGGCAGCTAATGCTGGACAGGTTGTCAATGTCTTCATGGCCATCTTAATCGGATCATTCTCTCTCGCCTCACTTGCCCCTGAATTGCAAGGTAGTCTTGATCCCACGTTTGATTCGGAGTTCTCATTCAATCTTTTACTCAAGCCATTACGCGTGCTTGTGGTGCTGCTGCCAAACTCTTCGCTACGATCGAGCGTGTCCCTATTATCGACTCTGCAAGCCTAGGAGGACTAAAGCCTGAAAATATCACTGGCGAGATTACTTTTGAGGACGTCACATTCAACTATCCATCTCGGCCAGATGTCCCAATTCTCAAAGGCATCAACATCACCTTTCCGGCTGGCAAAACCACTGCTCTCGTTGGTGCATCCGGATCTGGTAAATCTACGATTGTATCTCTCACGGAACGTTTCTACGATCCGCTCAGTGGCTCTGCTATGCTTGACGGAACTGACTTGCGGGAGCTGAATATCAAATGGTTACGTTCTCAGATTGGTCTAGTCTCACAAGAGCCTGTACTTTTCGCGACAACTGTCAGGGGCAACGTCGCACACGGTCTCATTGGCACATCATACGAGGATGCATCTGACGAGGAAAAGTTTCAGCTCATCAAGGCAGCTTGTATCAAGTCTAATGCAGATAGCTTTGTTAGCCACTTACCACAAGGATATGACACTATGGTTGGTGAGCGAGGTTTTTTGTTATCAGGAGGGCAAAAACAGCGCATCGCCATTGCACGAGCTATCGTGTCAGATCCGCGGATCTTGCTCCTTGATGAAGCAACGAGCGCCCTCGATACTCGTTCGGAAGGGATTGTACAAGATGCTCTAGACAAGGCATCTACAGGTCGAACTACCGTCACCATTGCCCATCGCCTGTCAACGATTAAAGATGCTGACTGCATAATTGTAATGGGCAAGGGGCTCGTACTGGAGCGAGGAACTCATGCAGAACTCCTAGCAGACGAAAATGGCGCGTATCATCGTCTTGTCATAGCTCAAACTCTGCGCGAGGGTCATGAAGATCCTGAGACAGTGATATCAAGCGACGAGAAAGATTCGGAGAAGCCTAGGTCAGATGACCTCGATATCAAGAGCACCATTCGCACCATCGACGTCGTCAGTCAACCAAAGGAGAAAGTTGGGGACCAGACTCCAAAGGAGGACTATGGTCTATTCTATTTGATGAGACGAATTGCTGGTCTTCACCGCGAAGGACTTCACCGATACTTGATTGGATCTTTCTTTGCCATATGTAAGTTCGCAGAATACATATCATCAGCTGCGCTCATATGTTTTCGCAGGCAATGGTACCGCTTATCCTGCCTCTGGTATAATCTATGGTAAGTCCTGTTGTCGAACAAAACGGATGCCATTTATCCTGGCATGCACTGGTAGGGCTCGCGATCTCCGGCTTTTCTGCCACCACAAATTCTGAGCGTCGCTACCAAGGCGACCAGAATGCTCTCTGGTTGAGTTTACATGTTTTCCCACAGATCGTGCTGGTGCTTATCTCGAGCCAGGTTTTTCATTCTTGCTATTCTATACGGCTTCTGTGCTGGTTTCCAAAACTACTTATTTGCTTCTTCTGCCGCTGTTCTGACTGCCAAGCTCCGTTCAATAAGTTTCAAAGCCATCCTCCGACAAGACAGTGAGTGCCTTGATCACCAATTTATTTTTCTCACTCATGGAACCAGTTGAGTATTTCGACAATGACAAGAACAGCGTGAGTTATAACTCTCCAGCTCGTGCAGAACCCTCATCAGACTCCGTAAGACTGGTGCTCTGACGTCAAGTTTGAGCGAAAACCCTCAGAAGATCAATGGTTTCGCTGGCGTAACTCTGGGAACGTGAGTATCACGAATCCTTCTGAAGCAATGTCATTATTGACTTTGGTTAGGATTGTCCAATCTATCACAACTATATTTGCTGGTTTGGCCATTGGCCTTGCATATGCTTGGAAACCGGCTCTTGTCGGCATGGGTGCGCCCTGTTTTCCGGTTTCACGCCTTCCTCTTATAAATTTCGTTTTTATTTAGCATGTATCCCTGTCCTGATGTCTGCTGGCTTCATACGTTTGGTACGTCACTTGTATAATAAGCTCCCATTGTGCTACACACCTTTTAGCGAGTCGTCGTTCTGAAAGATCAGAATAACAAGTCAGCGCATGAAAATTCTGCTCAGATTGCCTGCGAAGCTGCTGCGGCTATTAGCACTGTTGCATCATTGACCCGAGAAGAGTACTGCCTGAATCTTTACAGACAGAGCTTGGAAGGGCCTCTTAGACAATCCATCAGGACAGCGCTCTGGAGCAACATGCTGTTCGCACTCTCTCAGGCCATGGCGTTTTGGGTAATGGCTCTAGTTTTCTGGTATGGCACGACGCTCGTTTCGCAGC